CCTTTAAAAACGATAATGGATTTCAGATGCCAAGATTTTCATAACTTTATTCTTTGGAATCGTAACAAGTGGCAAGAGAAGGTGAAGTGTTCTTAGGGGTTCCAATAATCTATCAGTTAGAACCTATTTGAAGCATCTTGTTCTTCAAATGTAATTGATTTCTAGAAATAAGGTTAAATAAGTTAAACACTAAAATTACCAGATTTAAGTTGATTTTTTTAAGTTGATTTTATTTAAGTTGATATTTCCACAGGCAGTGAAGTAACAAGCAGTAAATTGTTGTGATTTGATTTTCTTAAATAGGAATTTTAACATAGAAATTTGGCATAGTAACTAAAAGAATTTTGTAAATATATGCCTTTAGAAAAGATGATTTGATAACTGTTTCTTCTTATGTAACTCATGTTTCAAATCCAGTAATACTTTTAAGATCTTAAGGTATTTTGGTAGAAGCCTGCATGAGAATATACTTTTATCTTTATTCACATGCTTATAAGTGTCACAGTTATATCACTCATATCTATAAATAATGTTTCTTATTCAGAGATTATATTTCACACTGGTACTGTGAACATTTTATTTGCCCAGGAAAAGAATCAGTGGGTGGTTAAGTCTTCTGAATTACAGACTCTGGTTGATTTTAGAATTTGGGATAAGGAATGATTCTTATGAAATGTGAAAAGTCTATATGTTTTAGTCAACCAATGTTATATTATTAGTATAATCCCAAAGACTTTTTGGGAGGGGGGCGTCTTTGGACTCAATTTTTTCCTTAGAAGGAATTTTCTTAAAAATATATATTTAGCCATTTAGCTTTTTAAAATCTCTCTCATGTATTGGCATTTTGCTAGGAATATAGAGATGAGTAGGACATGGTCTGGGAAATAATTATAGAGGGCTGATAAGTAATGTGTTAAATTTTAAAATAATTTAATTTTGGGGTGCCTGGGTGGCTCAGTGGGTTAAGCCTCTGCCTTCAGCTCAGGTCGTGATCGCAGAGTCCTGGGATTGTGCCCCGCATCAGGCTCTCTGCTCAGCAGTGAGCCTGCTTCCCCCTTTCTCTCTGCCTGCCTCTGCCTACTTGTGATCTCTCTCTCTGTCAAATAAGTAAATAAAATCTTTAAAAAATTTTAATTTAAAACATAGAATTATTTAAAATGTTATATTTATGTGCAAAGAATTGTTTATCCTCATCCTACTCATTCTTCTTTCTCACTATGTTACTGAAACTGCTCTTATCCAAACTAGTAACCTCCTTAGTTTTATGTTTATGTCTTTTTGGTTATGTTTTATGGTTACGTCTTTGGTATTTCATTTGACCTTTCAGTGGCATTTAACACAGTTAAGTGACCTTGAGTCATTCCTGGTGTTCCTTCTTGCTGACTGATCTTTCTCACCCCCTGTCTGTCATCTCAGTGTTGGAGTGCTCCAGATCTCTGGCTACCCCCACCCCCAATCTCTAGTTTCTCCTCGAGAATCCAACCCTCTTCTAATACTATTTATGTGCTTATGATTCCTAAATCTATGTTTTCAGCACGAACCAGCCCTACAGTTTCTGGACTTACGTATTTCACTGCCTACTGGCCTTTTTGAATGTATAATGCACACATCAAACATCACACATTCAAAGCTGTTTTTGACTTTGACAGTTTGGGCCCTCACTGCCTAATTTTTAATCCCCTTATTGTTCCTATTTTTCCTTAGAAATATCACTCCATTGAGTTGTTTAAGCCAAAAACCTAGGCGTTATCTTGGTCTATTTCTCCTTCACCAGTCACATCTAAGTGCGTCAGCAATGTCCTGGCAATTTTACCTTCAAAACATATTCTGAATCCTTCTTATCTCTTCTTGTAACCACACCGTTTAAATTCAGTATACCCTTTCTTTCTTGGACTATTGCAGTAGACTTCTTACCAGTTTTCTTATTTCCACTTCTTCTCTTAGCCCTGAGAGCTATCTTTAAAACACAAATCAGGTCAGGTCACTTGCCTTTGTGCAACCCTCTAGTGGCTTCCCATCATGCCTAAAATAACATCCAAATTTCTTACTTTGGCTGGGTCCCACATGATCTGGCCTCTGCCTGCCTTCTTGACCTCGTTTTCATCACTTTTCTGCCTGATCCACCGCTTTCTTCATTGTAATTCACGTAACCTCTTTTTGGCCTAAAAGTACTAAGTTCATCTCTACTTTAGGTCCCAGCGCTTTGCCTAGAAATCTTTCCTCCCTTTCCTTAATCCATTCCCAATATTGTACTATATGTCAAAGACTGTTCTAGGACTTAAGGATGAAGCAATGAATAAGACACAGGGACATACTCTCTGGCATTTTTCTTACGCCTTTTGTCTGGAGCGTTCCTTGAATATGCAACCTAAAATACTCTCTCTGAAAATTTTTTCAACTCTCCCAGATGGCGGCTTCTTTTTTTGATGCCACATTTTATGTAGTTTATTTAATCTCCACCTTGAAGGAGCTCACATTGTAGTTGGAGGTGGAATAGGGTGGAGAGTGCAGTAAATATGGTGAGTAAAATATATGTTAGATGATTAAAAAAAAGTGCTAAGTAGGAAAACATAAAGCTGCAGCAAAGTACAGAGGAGAATGGAGTTGTAATTTTAGATAGGGTGGTCAGTGCAGGCCTCTGTGAAGTTGAAATTTGAATATCATCATGTGTTCCAGGTTGTGATATAACTCATAGATTTGTGTCAATATAAAATAAAAATATACAGTTTTCACAGACTTTTTGTCCAAAGTTAATCTACTTTCTTCTCTGTGCTTCGTTAGTTGCTTTCAGTTTTCACAGCTCACATTAACTTCATCTTCCCATTTGTTGCTTGCTATCTTTAGCTTCCTTCCCTTTCCTGTATCCACAAGTCTGTTTCTTCCAATTCTGAACTTTAATCAATAGAACTTGAAATATAGTACTGTATAAAGGTTTCTAACTAAAACGTTTGCATTTATCTTATATAGACTGTCTTAATTCAGAGATTGACAAAGCAAAATTGTATGAAAGTTACATTTTTTTCCTTGAGATTTAAACCCTGTCCTTATATACCTTGCTGAAACATCATACATAACAGCTTTTTTTTTTTTAAGATTTTTATTTATTTGAGAGAGAATGAGAGAGAGAGAGAGAGCATGAGAAGGGGGAGGGTCAGAAGGAGAAGCAGACTCCTTGCCGAGCAGGGAGCCTGATGGAGCCCGACGTGGAACCCAATCCCAGGACTCCAGGATCATGATCTGAGCCGAAGGCAGTTGCTTAACCATTTGAGCCACCCAGGCACTCCCATAACAGCTTTTCTACCATTTCTTTTAAAAATTTAAGTACAAGGCATAGTAGTAATTGGCTTTTATAAAAAGTTAAGAGGTCTTCAGGAGAGCTACTGAACATTAATTAAAATTCCTTAGGCCTTATGTCCCACAAAAAAAGTATTTGGCATGTATAAAGCCTGTCCTCACCTTACTTATAATTATTTCTAATTTGTTGAGTTACATGTAAGTAACTTTCCTTTTTTTCCCTCTATTTTTTGCTATGTTCCAATGGATTTGCCTTTCCTGTTTGGACTGAATGTGTCATACACAATTCTTGGAATTCCTCATTTACTGTTCCTCTATGGATCTGTTCTGTTGGAATCTGGAACACTGGAATGATGGAAATGTGTTCTTTACAAAGTAGCTGTGAGTATATGAGATAATTTATACAGAGATGTTTTCAGTCTAAATTAACTTAAATTTAACGTACAGTTCAATGAAATATGAGCTAAGGAAGCCTTACATTTAATATATATTTTTAGCTTTATGCATAGTAGGCTTTCATATATTTGATTTTAAAATACTATACTCTGATGAGTATCCTAGTTAGTCTTTAAAATTAGCTTTTCCATTTAATTGGCTTGGTTATTCTGTCAACATTTGGCTTAAAGATTAGTTCATATGAATCAAAAAAAAATGCTGAAAGTCAGTGGATGGATTTTGTTACATGTGATGCTAGTGAGGAATGCAGATTGCTGTTTAAATCCAAGTGTGTTGAGTTAATGCTTTGATTTCATGAGTATTTCTTTTTTTAAATGAGATATTAAATGTGTCATATACTTTTAAGAGAAATATGTACCTCTTAGGAATATTTTGCGATTGTATTTTAATGATGACTAAGACCTACCTCTAAGTAAAATTAACCGGTAAGACTACTCACTCAGATGGTCTAAACTATGGACAGTTTTTCTCAGCACTGGGTAAGTTAAAAGTCAGATTTAATTACTACACCAATTTAAAAGTAGGTTTCTTTGAATTACTCATGAAACTATTGTTGAGATCATCAAAGAATCAAAAACCATGCAGAAAACTGAATTCTGGTTTTCTTTAAAATCTGGATAAATCTGATGTCCCCAATGAGGGAGGCAACAGGATCATTTGAAATGCTGAAGTGATAATTGGACCTGGTATTAATAGCTTGAAAGATACTGTTTACTGATTGACTTGGCCATAAGAACTTCTAAGAATTTATGAGAAAATTGTTTTAAACTCAACATTTGACTTCATTTCATGAATAAGAAGACAAATTTCAAGAAATTCATACCTGTGGTGATTAGTATGAGTAAAGGGATAATTAAGAGAGTTCCTACTATAAGGGTATTTGAATTTTTTTATCCTGAAAAACACTTTATTTAAAAAAAAATTTTTTTTTTAAGCTGATTGGTTAGAATCTTGTTATTGACTAATTGTAAGTTGAAATCTTTGCTCTGAGGAAGGTTTCTTTGGTTTTTATTTTTTGCCCTTGGGTTTTATAATTGACCATTATATTGTCAAATCAACTCATACTCCTAATTCACTTTGTCTTTTGCTGTAGTTAATACTTTTATTGGTAACACTATAAAATCAGTTTGATTTGCCATGGATAATAGTTTGTATAGTTTTCTAAAATGGGTTATTGACAGGAATTTGAAATACGTGACAGAAGAGTTTTGTTGATACATGAATAACTTGGCCCTTTTTGCTTTTCTCAGCAACAGAAGAACCTTGAAGGCTATGTGGGATTTGCAAATCTCCCAAATCAAGTATACAGAAAATCAGTGAAGAGAGGGTTTGAATTCACTCTTATGGTTGTTGGTAAGATATGTTTTCTTACTAAAATTGGATTTTGATCTGAGTTTTAAGTTACTAATCAGCTCTGAATGAATTTAAGAAGACAGTAGCCTAAATGACTGTTTTATCTTATTATATATCGTGTTATATCTTATTATGTGAATACATTTTTTAAAAGATTCTATTTATTTATTTGAGAGAGAGAGAGAGTGCTAGCGCATGAGCAGGGAGAGGGGCAGGGAGACAAGTAGACTTCTCACTGAATGGGGAGCCCCACACAGGAATCCATCCCAGAACCCTGAGATCATGACCTGAGCCAAAGTCAGATGTTTAACCTACTGTGCCACCCACGTGCCTCTTATGTGAGTACATTTTAAAATTTAAACTGGTGGCATGATTTATGTATTTTTTAGCCTTTTTTTTTTTTTTTTAAGGTGGCACAATTTTAAAAACTAAAAGTTGAAAAGCCGTGGTGGTAGAGGAATATAACACTGTAAAGAAATTCTCCTCAATTGGTAATGCTACAAAAGGAAATAGTGTCTTGTGGTTAGTTATTACAGGATAATTTTATTCTCTGGCTTATATAGTATAGAGGAGTCATATCACATGAGTACTTAAACATACGTGCTCTGAATTTGAGAAAGAAGGGTGGGGTAGAGGTTCATAATCATGCAAGTGATTACCCTGGAAATTCATTCGGTGAGTATAAGCTCTGTAGTGAGTGAATTACAGCTTTCTTTTCTAATTCAGTTACATTTTTCTTAAGTGTTTTATCCTCTGAGCACCATATTCTGCCTGAAGTCCATTTTAAGAGATTGTCAAAGGTTATTTTGACTGTATGTTGGTACCATCATTGTTATATTTGAAGAAACAGTATATCATATGTAAGATTAGTAATCTTTTTTTTTTTTTTTTTTTTTTTAATTAGAGTAAAAGAGGGAGCACAAGCAGGGGAGTGGGAGAGGAAAAAGCAGGCTTTCTGCTGAACGGGGAGCCTGATGCAGGGTTTGACCCCAGGACTCTGGGATTATGACCTGAGCCGAAGGCAGATGCTTAATGACTGAGCCGCCCAGGTGCCCCAGATTAGTAATCCTAAATGTATAATAATTTCACTTCATAGAAACTGACTCCTGTCTACAGCCATACCACCCTGAACATGCCCGATCTTTTCTGATCTTGGAAGCTAAGCAGGGTTGGGCTTGGTTAGTACTTGGATGGGAGACTGTGTGGGAATACCAGGTGCTGTAGGCTCTTTTGAAAGTAAATCCTAAGGATGATGAAACTTTGTATTTCTCTATACGTTTTAAGAAGGTGAAAGGCAGGATAATGGATACACTGTCCTTGACAAAGAAAATTGAGTTAATACTTTGTCTTTTTTGTACTGTTCATTAAATTTTGCTAATTATGTTCAACTCCTGTTGTTTTTCTTTGGGTATTAAATATTAGATTCATTGAATTAGCTCTGAAATAACTCCTTCATTGGAGGCGAGAATACTTTATCAATCAACTGGAATATTTTACCAGACGGTCACTTTGTGGCTGTTTGGAAATATCTGTGTTGTGATAGTTAAAGTAGTTAAAGCATGGTACAAAGTCTGCAAACTTGGTGTTTGGTAGACTTGGTTAACTTGCCTGTTTCTGGTTGAGTAGAAGCATAGTATACCCAGCTGGCAAATTGCTACTGTGAAGCAGAGGTCAGTCTAGATAGATGGTTGGATAAAACATGCAGAACATACCTTTCCTTTTATAGGGCAGTTAACATGATCATTATATGTAAAGAAATACTAAATCTTACCTTTACTTATATAGCATTTATGATCTTAAATGACAGACTGTAAACAAATAAAAGATCTTTTTGTAATTTGTAAGAAAAATTTCTAGGTCTGTTAGGAGAACTATAACAATTTAAAAAAATTTTCAATATTAAAATTTTAGTTTGAAGAATGACTTCTTGAACATATACTTAGTAGAATAATATCTCGGGATCAAGGCCAGATATTTGGTTTAAAAATCTCGAACATTTTTCCAGGTGAAAAAAAATTCAAGTCAGCTGAAATGATTTTAGAGGAAATATGCAGTCTCTGAAAGTATCTTATTAGTTTGTGAAATACAGCTTTTATCTTTTCTTTTTCTCAATATGACTTCAGCTGAGATTAAAGGAGAATGGGTGTTAATATCCTGACCCATTTCACCTTGAATGTTATTGTTTAGTTAGCTGTCTCTGTATAGACTTGTTGAATGCAAGGAGTGAATCTTGTCATCTACATAGTTGAGGAGTGTCTAACACATAGTCACCTTTTAAGTAAGTGTCTAATACTTGGTTGGTTTTTCTGACTTTAAGCCAAATATAACAGTATTGTTTGCAAATCACAGAAAGCTAAAGCTAACCTTGCTTTATTATTATTAACTGCGGGTTCTTCCTTATAAGCTAATTCCTCATTTTTTTTTTAATTTAAATTTTACTTAGTTAACATACAGTGCAATAATGGTTTCTGAGAATTAAATGACTGTCACATACAACACCCAGTGCTCATCACAAGTGCCTTCCTTCATACCCATCACCAATCAGGCCATCCCCCATCAGTCCTCAGTTTGTTCTCCATCATTAAGAGTCTCCTATGGCTTGTTTTCCTCTCTCTTTTTTTCTTTGCCCCCTTCCCATACATACATCTGTTTTCTTTCTTAAATTCCACATATAGGTGAGATCATATGGTATTTAACTTTCTCTGACTTATTTTACTTAGCATAATATACTCTAGCTCTGTCCACATCATTGCAAATGGCAAAATTGCATTCTTTTGATTGCTGAGTAATATTCCATTTGTGTGTGTGTGTGTGTGTGTCACACATATATGTACATACACACATATCTCACATCTTCTTTATCCATTCATCAGTGGATGGACATTTGGGCTATCTCCATAGTTTGGCTATTGTTGATAATGCCTCTGTAAACATCAAAGTGCATGTAGCCCTTCGAATCTGTACTTTTTTATCATTTGGATAAATACCTAGTAGTGCAGTTGCTGGGTCATAGGGTAGTTCTATTTTTAATGTTTTGAGGAACCTCCAAACTTCTCCAGAGTGGCTACACCAGTTTGCATTCCCACCAACAGTGCAAGAGGGTGCCCCTTTCTCTACATCCTTAGCAGCACCTGTTGTTTCTTGTGTTGTTAGTTTTAGCCATTCTGTAAGTCCTCAGTTTTGAGATATAAACTCAGAGTAGTTTTAGTTTTTATAAGGATTCTTGATTTAAGACTTTCATATTGATACAAACTGAAAATCTATATTAGCATTTGATTTCTTTATGAAACTCCTTTGTTGGAAAACCTTTATCCAGTAACCTTGCCTCAAAAAAGCAGAATTTATTGAGTACGTATTTAAGTGCCTTCTTTGTATCAGGGAGGCATAGTGTATATTCCCATATCTTAAAGGAATTTATAATTTAGACAACATAAAGTACACATAAAAAGGTAAGTAACATTTCTAGGAAGTATATATGAATAAATGGAGTCATACAAAAATTAAGGGTCATAGAAGTTGAAGGGTTTGGAGAACTTATCCCTGGTTAGAGCTTATTTCTGCCTTATTTGAGGAGGAGAGGTTATTAGGGCAGATTTTTAAAAGATAAGAATTGGGATAGCCATTTAGTGGATGGTCCACTTGGGAAGAAATAGCCAATACCTGCATAACCTTTTATGTGTCAGGCAGTGTTCTGAGTGTGTACCTAACTCATACAAACCTTAACAACAATCCTATGAAGTCGATATTACTATCCCCATTTTAGAGAGGGAGAAACTGAGGCATAGAGAGATTAGGTTACTTGCCCGTGGTCACATTGCTAAGCAAATGGTAAAACCAAACTCAGTCTACTTCTCAGTCTGGTGTGTTCTTAAGTACTATGCAGAGGCTCATTTGAGGGTATTGGATAAAGTGTGCCCAGTATGCCTTGAACTTATATGATTTCATCTGGATGTTACGTTTTTCCTAAAAAAAAAAGAAGGAGAGAAATGAGAGGGAATAGCGGGGCAGGAATGATTGAGAATTAGAGAATTTAAATACTTATGTGAGCAGTTTTTTTCTGCCGTTGCACTGGAATGAGTTGTGTGGCCTAGGGCAGGCATGAAGTGGGAGAGGTGAATTTTCTATCTCCTCATTTTCAGCTCCCACATACTTTCATATTGTGAATATTTTACCTTGCTGAATGTTAGTGTAGTGACAATATGGTGCACTAATATAAACTAGTTACTTTATATATTTTCAGACACAAGTATCTGTGTTGGTGTAGGAAGAAAAACAGGTTGTCAGTTTTGTATGTAATTGTGGTTTATGCATGATACAGGGGTTTTCAAGATTAAATTTGCCCTGAACATTGATTTTACCTGTAAGATATGACATTATAATAGTTGAAAATTAGGCTGGAAAGGTAGGGTAGCCTAGATTTTGAAGAACTTGATTGCCACCAGGATAAATAGATCGGAATTCTTGGTTTTGAATCTTTACTTGAAAATTTAGTTTTAAACTCAGTGTCAAGCATATCAAATAATGAAGACACTTAGGTCTCTAATTCAGCAGATTGTCAAACAGATTAGGGCTTGAAATTTTTTTTTTTTTTTAAGGGCTTGAAATTTGACTGTCTCTTGTGTGCTTCTTAATTAGACTTGACTATGCTGAGAAGTAAAATGTTAATTATAAAATCCTAATTTTACTAGAATTCTCCAGGATCTTAGAACTCAGACTATGGATTGCTTTATCTTACCAGAAAATATTTTTTAAAACAAGTGATATTAAATCTATTATTTTGAATTTTTTTAAAAATTGAAGTATAATTGACCCTACAGTATTATTAGTTTCAGGTATACAATACAGTGAATTGACAGTTCTGTGCGTTACTGTGATAAATGACCTTATCATCTGTTACCATACAAAGTTATGACAGTATTATCGACTGTATTTCCTATGCTGTACTTTTCATTCCCATGACTTATAACTGGAAATTTGTACTTTTAATTCTTAGAGGCTAAAATCCACAGTTCTGTCATTTCTGCAGTTTTGAACTTCACACAATTTTTATGGTAGAGGTTTTCTTTATTTAGTGTTTGTCATGATATATTTGACCTATACCAAATGTCTTAAGTAGCAGGATTGACATTTGTTTTGTCATTGGGAAGGAACTTACACTGCTTTGGCCATTTTGGGGATTCAAGTTTATCATAATGTGTTTTTTGTATATGACTTATAAGCTAAAGTTTAGGAGGTGTGTAGTTGGTAATAGGATATACATTGTCTGTCATAATTGTCATTTTCTCTGACCTTCATGTTGGTGTTTGAATTGTAATAACATCCAGAATTATTTGAAGAAAATGAAAGGTAATAATATTGACTCATTTTGTTTTTAGGTTGTTCGGCATTCTGTGATATTATATGTAATTCTGGATTTAAGATATGTTGGAGACTTGAAATGCTTTGAGTAATATTTCAAAAATTTCTTCCTTGAGCTCTATTTTTATTTTACTTTTGGTAATAAAAGTAATCAATGATTGTGCAATGTTGTGAATATAGAAGAACCACTGAATTGTACACTTTAAAGTGGTGAAATTTATGGTATGTGAATTTTATCTTACTTACAAGAAGTAACTTAAAGCAGAGGAAGTTTTGGGAAAAAAGAAATCACATACATCCACATATCCACTATTTTAATTTTAAAATTCGTTCTAGGTTTTTCATCTGTGTATTTTAAGATGTGCTTTTGTAATAAAGATAATGTGTTTCATTCATAAAAATTAGGAAATGCAGAAAAGCAAAATGAAAATAAATATTACCAAAACCTGTCACTGAGTTATCTATCTATGATGTTCCATGATTGCTCTCTAAAATAAGCAGTAAATTGTGATCATCTTTTGATGTTAGGTATACTTTGATAAACTAGCTATGCTTGTGTCATAGACTTTAATGGCTTGTATAGGTTGGGTATTCCATAATTTGCCATGTTGTTCAACATCAGGATAAATTTTTTAAAAGATTTTTACTTATTTATTTAACAGAGAGATACAGTGACAAGCAGGGGGAGTGGGAGAGGGACAAGCAGGCTCCCTGCGAAGCAGGGAGCCTGATGCAGGGCTTGATCCCAGGACCCTGGGATCATGACCTGAGCGTAAGGCAGACGTTTAACGGCTGAGCCACCCAGGCACCCTAGTCAGGATAATTAAATATAAACACGATTATAGTTCTGTCTCTCCTTGTATTTTTAA